GACCCCCACCCCCACCCACCCCCCCCAGCCTCTCTCCCAGCCCCCCCACCCCCCGCCTTTCGCTTCCCCTCTAGGGACACAAACTGGTTCATCACACCTCCAGCCCTTGCACAGGTTCTTGGGGGCCTCCTGGAGGGCCTTCCGAAGCCCCTGTGAGCCTCCAGCCTGGGCCAGGGGCCTCCCTGGGCTCCTGCCACCCCGTAGCCCTGCCACACAGCTCTGCACTCGAAGTTGTGCCTGTTGGAGCTGAATTCTGGAAATGCAGGGGGCAGGGGCTTGATGTCCCGTGTGTCCCTGGGTGAGGCTAGGGTCCCACCTGTCCCTGGGTGTTCTTCCCAGTGTGCAGCTGTGTGCATGGCGTGTGCAGACATGGGCCACTCGGGGATGGGAGCTGCCTGTGCTTTGCTGGATACACGGGACCCCACTGTGACCAAGGTGAGCAGTGCTGCGGGGACCTCCTGGGCAGCGGGTCTTGGTGGCCAGACCAGGAGGGGCCGACTGGGTGACAGATGAAGCCTGAACCTCAGCAAGAAGTCTTTCTGCACCCCGATTTCTTTCTAAGTAGGAGAGGCACACAGCTGGTCAGGGGGAGAGGGAGGTCTCGTCTGAGGCTCAGAGAGGGCAGGGCGCTGGCCAGAGTCACACAGCAATTTGGGCAGAGCACCTCTGCTCCCGTGTTCCTTTCCAACCTGGGGTTTCGGCCACTGCAATACTCTCCCCTTTCCACGCAGAGCTGCCCGCGTGCCAGGCTCTGCACTGTCCCCGCAACTCCCAGTGCTCTGCAGAGGCCCCGGCCTGCAGGTGCCTGCCTCCCTATACCCAGCAGGGCAGCGAATGCCAAGGTAAGACTGTGACCGGGGGCAGGGTGAGCAGGCACTGGGAGGATGTCCTTTTAAACCAGCACGTGCCATCTGGCCATTTATAGGGAGGAAGAGCTGTCCCTGAGGGAGGTGAAGGGGGCTTGTCCCCAGAGTCTGGGTCAGCCTGCTCACCCCCTCTTTGAGCCATCTCGGTGGAAGCTGTGGAGGAGATAGGCTCTTGGGAGCTCAGCTCACTTGGGCTTTCTCCCTGCCCTGCAGCCCCTGACCCCTGCCGGCCATCGCCCTGTTCCCCGGTGGCCCAGTGCTCAGTGAGCCCCACCGGGCAGGCACAGTGCCGCTGCCCTGAGAACTACTATGGCGACGGGACAGTGTGTCTGCCCCAGGACCCATGCAGCACCAGCAATGGTGGCTGCCCCAGCAACTCTACCTTATGTCTGTACGAGGGGCCCGGCAAGGTGAGCCCCTCCATCCACCCAGCACACTGGCCGTGGGACCCTGGGCAAGTCGAAGGCCTCTGGGAGCCTCAGCTGCCCCATTTGTGAAATGGGGAGAGAACGACACCCTCTTCTCGGAGGGCGGTTTTGGGGACCGAGCAGAGCTCGGTGGGTGTGGCAGATGCCAGCAGTCCTCACGGACCTGATGTCACCCTCTGGCCCTGCCCAGGCCTCCTGCACGTGTAAGCCAGGCCTGGTCAGCATCAACGGCAACGCCTCTGCAGGCTGCTTTGCCTACTGTTCCTCCTTCTCCTGTGACCGGTCAGCTACCTGCCAGGTGACCCCTGGTGGAAAGACCAGGTGGGCACAGGGGCCTCGGGGTGGGCACAGGGGCCTAGGGGTGGGCACCCGGGCAGGGCAGAGAGGGTGGGCTGGGTGAGGGGAGGTGTGCACCCTCAGCTCAGGGCCCTGTGGGGACAGGTGGGGGTGGGCCAGGAGGTGGGGACCGGACCCACCTCCTGCCCTGATCGGTTTTCTGCCCCCCAGCTGTGTGTGCACGGAGGACCAGGTGGGGGATGGGCGCTCCTGCTACGGACACCTGCTCCTCGAGGTGCAGAAGGCCAGCGCCAGTGTGACCAGGACCCTGGGACTGAGAA